TAAACTTGTAACGAAGGTTGGTTTCTTCAGCATTGTTATCATTGTTTTATCTTCTTAATTGATGGTGTATCGTTTTTTATTTGGGTTTTTCTCTTTAAGATTACTCCTGTTTACAGGTTGTCATTCGTGAGCTTCAAACGATGTTGAAGGAGCTCGTTCTGGATAACGTTTATACTGTTCTTGTGCCTTTTTATCTCATTAACATTTGAAAGGAATTACAATGTAACATTGAATAGGAAGGGTGGTCTAACAAATATTTTTCATGCATGGCATGCTTACCAAAGAAGTATGCCTATCATTCTGATTCTTTTACTTCTAAGTGACTGGTCTTTTTTTCTTTGGAAGATTGGTTAGCTATAATTACATTAATATGGTTATTAAAAAGCTTCTAGAGGGCATCTCTGATGTCCCCTCTTTGGAATGATTTCTTTACTAAAGCTATGCTCTGGGTAAACTATCTTTGTATTTTTCAATTTCTTTTATCAAATAGATATTCTTCTAAGTTGGTTTCTTTGTTGATTTCAGAATGGAAGGCGTGCATTATTGCAACTACTTCATCCCAATTATCCCCGCTATTTCAGTCCTGATGGTCTGGTTTCTTTGAATCTTACTATTCCTTCTCTCTGCACCAAGGCAAAATCCAAATCGCCTTAGCTTTTTGTTGAACATTAGAACTATCTCAGACAAGTTATGCAGCTGCATTGAAACTTGATTGAAGTTTTCCCTCTTTATCAGGGTGAATCAGACTTAAATTCTGACTCAGATAAGAAGAAGAAAACTTTAGAGGTTGGTAAAGATGGTGAAGAGAACAGTGGCACAGAGGATGTTATAGTTGATTCTAACAAAAGTACAACCCCTGGTGAGAGCACTGACTTAATTGATGGTAGGAAAAAGGATCATCTGGTTCGAAGACAAGAGTTGTTGGTCAATAGTGGTCTTGCTGAGGTTGGTAATTTCACTGTTCCTTTGCACATCTTTAAGAAGAATTTCTCACTTTCACTTAGTTGCAGTCATCAGCCATAACATATTGGTTATATGTTCTTCACATTAACTATGACTTTATACTTAAAACTGGTTTGAGATGTTAACTTGGTTGCTTGCATGTCTTGTAGAGTCTCATTGATGCATGCGTTGAGAGTGCAGGAGAATTACTTGGTTCCAATTTTGGGAAAGAGATCATTTATGAGGTAGTAATCTCTTTTATTACCAATAATTTTATCTTGATCTGAAGTTTAATCATCTTCCATGGATTTGTTCAGTGTATTGGCTGCAACAGGAATTGTGTTTTTAATCATTTTTTAAAGTAGAAATTCAATAAAAGGTGCAAAAGGCTGTGCAACCAAGTACATATGAAGTATGCAATGTTTCCACCAATAAAACCTTGATATCTAAATTATGTAACGAGTCCAAAATAGAGTTCAAAAAGTGGTCCAGGCTTCGATAGACCAACAAAAAACAGTTACCTTGTTACATAATTCAAATATTGAGGTTTTTATGTGGAAAACCAAAAAAAGGATTACCTTGGTCTTTCACTTTTCATACACAACGTTTCTCACTTCTCCCTCACTCACTGCCTTCCTTGTTCTTGATTGCCTAAAGTTATGGTTGATTTGTCGATTAAGTCCAAGTTTATCTCTCTGGTTGTGATGTAATCCCCAAGAAGTAATAATTGTAGTGTAAAATCCATGTCAGCTCATCAGTATTCTTTATGTTAGGATTTGATTCATTTTTGGGTTAGCAATGCTAGAGACAAAGAATTCAGACACAAAAGTACCAAGAAAAATAGTTTATGGTTTAGCTTCAACTTTTATATGGCGGGGCCAACACTTCAAATAAATTCGTATCATACATTTTTTTTCCTTATTACTTTATTTCTTGGTCTCTAGAATTATTCTTTATTGGCAGATCCTTGCTTAACTTTTACGTTGTTAATTCATGTAGGTTGCAACTGGGGGTGCCGGTGGCATTCTCCTCTCAACATTGGATACAAATTTGGATGCCTTGCATCGAGCTATAGCATCACTTGTTGCAGAGCTTAAATTAGAGGACTCAGAAGAAGAGCATCTCCTTGAAAATTTCCATTCTAGCAGGACAATTAGAAGACTAGTTTTAGATTGCCCTGCCTTTGCTTCCATCCTATGGAAGAAAGCGTTAAAAGGGAAATCTGAAATGTGGGCCCAAGGTCACAGGTTAGATACTGTTGTTTGCTGCTTTCTGAATATGGTGAATTTAATTGTTTTGGCAAAAAACATTTTCTCTATATTTTCTGACATTTGGTAGGATAGGAAACGAAATTCAACAGAAAACAAGGTTATTTGGGCTGAAAATGTTTTCTACTTTTGAAAGTTGAAAAACGTTTTTCCAACTAAAGTTTTACAATGTCACCACTGCTACCACCTCATCACCACCACCACCACCACCATCACTGTCACCACCTCTAACACCCCCATCATTACCACGGCCACTGCCACTGCCACCAACGCCACCTCCACCTCAACCTCCATCTCCACGACCCCACCACCACCACCTCTAACCACTGGTATAGTAGTTTCCAAGTCGCAACCAAACATAGGAAAACATTGAAAAATGTTTTTTGCCAGGAAATGTTTTCCTCTGAAACAATCATAGCATAAATATGAATGGGCAATTTCTGACGGTGCTCTTGTTGTTGTGTACACAGTTCTAGGGTAGTTTGTGCATTCTTGGAATCTTCGGATTCTGTAGCACGTGAGCTGGCTAAAAAAGAACTGCAGCTCCTAATAGACAGTGGTATGCTTAAATTACCCGAGAAAAAGCTGTCAGCGAAGGAAGATTGAAGTCAGTAAATGCAGTAAGAGGAAAACTGCACCTCAATTGAACAAGCACGGCGAGCTCTATTTGGGTCTATGGCCGAGTCACCTTTGTATCATTTTTACTTAAAAAAGTCATTTTCTCTTAGTGTTCTTGAATGACCAAAAGTGTATCTGATTGCATTTTGGTTGGGAAAGGAAGTGGAAGTTTTGTAAGCATATTTCGAGTAAATTACAGTCAATTATTTAACGAATTTCACTTTTTAGGCTGCAATTGCATGTTTATTACAATGAAATTCGTACTGGAATTTAGTCACTCCCCTTTGAGATCTAAATTCAAAGATTGGGGAGGAATGTTTTGTTGTGAATCTGTCTTCTGGATAGGGTAGCCTTAGAACAGGTAAAGAGATGGATTTGAAGATTGGTTGGTCATTTGTTGGATTGAAAAGTAGGGTTTCTTTTGCTGATGCTGTGATAGCCTTCAAACAATTCTCTCCCAAGTTAAACTATGCTTTCTTTATGAAAATGCCATGATGTTTTCTGTTGTCATTTAGCTAATTGCTTTTCTGAATGCCATCAACCGTTGCTAAAACACCAGTTGTAAATAATTGGCAAGGAGAGGTAGAAGTCAAATAGTTACATTTGTTTTAGCGGAAAACACACCAAAAAAGAAAAAAAAAATTATTATTATTATTTTTGAACAAATATTTTTCTATTATGTTTATAGATGCAACAGTGATGGACACAAAATAACCCAATAATAAAAAGTTTATTTATTATTGTTAATTATAATACAAATCCGAAATGACCCGACCTGACTTATCCTTAGTTAATTGGTATTTAAGGGTTGTTTGGGATGTTTTAAATAAGTGTATTTTTTGACTTTTTATGAAATATGAGTTGAGTTTGAAGTAACGTGGTAGAGAGGTGATGTGACTTATGTGAATTAAATTGGATAATAATTTTTTGACTTTTTGAATTTTTCAGAGTATACCAAACCAGGCCTTAAGCTATGATTTTGGGAACTGGTATTTAGATTATGATTTTGGGTAGAAAAAACTGCATAGTAACTATAAATAAAATATAATTATATTTTATCCATATTCCCTTTTCAAATCATACATTTTCCCTTTTCTTTTTCAAATCATTACCCTATTGTATTTTCCTTTTCAAATTATGATCTAAAATGTATCTTTCCAGCAACCTTATAAATTACTCGAATAAAAAAATTCCATAAAACCTTATGACATAATTATGCTAAATTACACTTTTTTATAAAAGAAAAATGAATAGGAGCTCTAATCAACTTTAATAGGAGTGAACCTCATTGTAATATGATATTTTGACCTTAGTTTTATTTATTTTATTCTTACCACCTCATTAGAGTTCAATTAAAGTTCTAAACTTAGAGGGATATATCATTACTCTTTATAAAAAATATATTAATTATATAAATAAAAAATAATACATTAAACACATAATTATACTAAATTTCACCTTTTTATAAAAACATATATTAATTATATAAGTAAAAAATAATATCATGCCATTTATATTAATTTTATTCACTCTTTAACTTCACCAAAAATTTCGTAGACACGTTTGATTGAGAAATAAATAAATAAATAAAATACAACAATATTTTACATCATTTCACACTTTTTTCTTTTAAATCCCTCCCTCAATGAGCAGCAATAGTTAATCGTTAGTAATTGATTATTAGGATAGTGGGCCCCCAATCAAGAAGATAAGGGGCTTCCAAAAATTGACGGGCGAGCCCACCTAAAAGTAGAGTGGACCCACTCGCCTTCGGTAATTGATGTGTTCGTCAAATGTAGGTGTTGGCACGACCAGCCTTCTCTATACGATCATTGACCAGTCATCTAACACCCCCAACAGGACGGGGTGACTACGTAACTCTCTCTAATTGTCTACTTATAAGCCCACTCCAACCTTCTCATTCTTCTAGTTTTCGATGTGGGATATCACACATTATTATTCCCTTCCTTTCTTTTTTTAGGAGGCTACTAGCTTTTCTTAGACATAGGTGCTACTCATTGCATTCGTATTTAGACTATGTGAGATTTCATTTTACACTTTTGTCATATTATAAAAAGAGGAAGGGAAAAAACAAAAAAAAAAGGAAAAACAATATGTAATTGTTTCTTATAAACCCTTTGATTCTTTTCTCTATAAGGTAAGTAATTCAAGTGATGCAAATATGTTGGTCATTTTCATTTGTATCTTACAAATATATGGTACATCATTTGTACTAAAAACAAAGTATGATAGGGGGATTTGGTCACCAATATATCTATCATTCAACTCTACAACGAGAGTCTAGAAAGAATATACAATCAAATGCTGTTAAGACAACAACTTAATTGCCAACCTCAGTGACCAGCTAAACTGCTTCTCTCTCATATCGAACAGCTATGGAAGCTTGATGGTGTCAACCGATTGAGAGGATGTTGAATTGTTGAAGAAGAGGCAGATAGCAGAGATATCATCCACTGCCATACCCGGTTTCTTACGTTTCCAAGCACAAACCGCATGTTGGACTAATCTTTTAGCCGATTCTTCCCTTTTTGGTGTTGAAGACACAACCTCCACTGCTTCTCGGTTGGAGAGAACATCCCATACCTATGTAAGCAAAGATTATGTACCATATAGTTCAGTGATAGGCCCGAAACACCACCGCAAACATCAATCATTCCTCTAAGAATGAGAAAGTTACATATCGAGTGCTCATGTAAAAGTTTTGAATCGCCAATGATAAGTGCGTACGTACCCCATCAGTTGCCAGAATGACGAACCGGTCTCTACAGTTGATATTTCTTTGTGTAATTTCAGGCTCGGAAATAAGGCCAAAGCCCTTTATGTAATAATCACCAAAGGCTCTTGATATTGCTAGTCCCGGCCCTCCTAGTGCCTCTCCATTTGGTAACCAGACTCTGTACACGCCCGGCTCATCAAGCATAGCAAACACTCTTCCTTTGGACTGTCTTATTCTTTCAGTCTCTTCTGCATTTGTGAATACACGAGTTAAAATCCTTAAACACAAGCACTTGTAAGTACACGTGCGCACACTCAGTGAGAGAGAGAGAGAGAGCTAACGAGGCGAATTGGGTTTAAGGTCAACTGTAAGCTGAAGCGGTACCAAGTAGCCATCATCGGAAGTGGTGGCTAACACAGCCCGAGAATCACCAATATTTGCTATAACAATGAGATCACCCTGAGAAACGTCAAATCAGAAAAACATCAAAATGTGTCTATTTTGAACTTGAAAGATATATACACAACCTTAAAAAATCCCTCAAATTTAGTATGCAAAACCGACAACAATTTCAGAGGACAACAGTATAACTTATTAACTAATCTTCTTAACAGAATGATTTAGAAATCCCTTTTTTATGTTCAAAACCGGAAGAACCAAAAATAATTATAACTCAAAGAATAATTTCATATTCAAAACTAGAAGAACAAAACAATGTACCAATCCAAGCATATACATCACTCGTCACAAAAAATTTATACGATTGGCATTTCTCATTACCTGTCGAACAATTGTCAAAGCCGTTGTACCACTATGAAAAGAATCAATCCCAGGATGCTGCTCTAGATCTTGGTCAACGGCAGAACAAGTCTTTAAATAAGATTGCTTCCATGTATCGAATTGATTAAGGCTTTTGCCTGGTTCGGTGCTTGAATTCAGGTCCAGTGAATTTTGAGCAAGGGTTTCTTGCCAATTGCAAAGCAAAGACGATGGCATTAACTTCCTAACCCTTTTTGCGACCAGGTGACCCCAGGGGCCGTGGCCATCAAAGATCCCGCAAAAGATCATGTCTTCTTGGCATCCAAATTCCTGTCATACAATTCATGTTCATCAATTGGAACTGATGGTACCAACAAAAATGCAAGGGTTACATTATTTTGACATGTCCTGATTGTGGTTCTCACGCTCCGTTTGTTTTGGTAGAAAACAATTATTTTCATAGAAAATGTTTTCCTATGTTTTATTGCAACATTGAAACTAATATGCAAGTGATTATATTAGTGGTGGTGGTGCTAGTAGGGACCACTGCTACTGTCTTCGGACTTTAGTTACCTTTACTTTGGCTCTAAAAATATTTTTCACAGAATTTTCTTATGTTCAGTTGAAACCTTAAAATTAATGTATTAGTGATTGTATCGGTGGTGGGGGTGGCAGTGGAGTGAGTGATAATAGTAGTGGAAGCAACGATGATACTGGCAAGGCCGGCCTTGAGTTTCCGGAGGCCTAAAGCGAAATAATTTTTCGGAGCCTTTTTAGATATTTATAAAAAAATATAAATAAAATCACTCTGTTTGGTTTAGATTTTTTAAAAATAATTGTCTGAGTTTGCAATTCGTATTTTTTTATATTTTTTGTATTTGGTGACGCTTTTTTAAAAATATATATATAAATATTATAGTTTTTAAGCGTATCTAAATTAGATGTATCTACAAAATAAATAAATAAAAATTGTGTAAAATATTTTTTTAAAAAAATACTAGAAAACACATATTTGGGCCATAAAGAGAGAAAAAAAATATGCTACACAAAATTAAGTTAACGACTAATACATATACATATATTTTATTTTTTTAATTGGGCCAGCAACTAAAACTTATAAATATTTTTTAATTGGGCGTTTTATCAATTGGGCCAAATAAATTTTTTGAGGCCCCCTTAAAATGGTCTAAATTAATTAAACAGAATTGAGCTATTTTAACTTTTTAATATAATGTAAGACTAAATTTGGGGTCTTTTCTGGGCCTAATTTTTTGGGCCCTAGACACAGGCCTCACCAGCCTTAGCCCAGTGCCGGCCCTGGATACTGGTGGGGTGTTGGTGTTTGTGTTGGTAAAACTTAATTTGAAAAACGTCTTTAGCCCAATTAAGTTTTTTCCGTTAACTTTCGTATTTTGTTTTACAAAAAGCCAACAACTGCATAAACCATATTTTAGAAATCTTTTTGAAAAAATGTTTTGTACCCAAACTAACAAAGTAATGTAATGCAAATAGTTATTATTACTAATGTTAACATATGGTTTATTACCTCCCACACAACAAGGCAATCCTGATTCACCCCTTTCTTCCCTCCCTTAGAGAAAACCGACACAAAATTATCAGACCGTTCGCCATTAACGGTGCCTGAAGAACTCAACATCAAGTCATTCTTCCTTGCTTCTTTAGCCAATGAATCTGCAGCTTCTCTCCCAACATCACTCCTACTTTTCTTTCCATTCTTAACCAGTATATTTTTAGCCAAACCATTGAATAGAACTGAGAATTGTACCATCTGCACTTAAGTTCAATACTTCAATATACAAAAATAAAATCTGGAATTCTATATTTTGCATACAAAGAATTCTAATTGGATGTTGGTTTCGTTTTTTTGAAACTGTTTTATGAAAAACACGAAAAACTAATTTGGTGAAAACAAGCACCAAAAAGATGTTTTTAAATTTTCACAAACTAATTTTGCACCAAAAAAAATAAATAATAATAATATGAAAATAATAGGTGTTTTTGAATTTTTAGAAAGCAGGTTTTGAAAACGAAACCAAATTGAGACTCAAACAATAGAAGTGGAAAGGTTCCAAGGTTTTGAGTGCTTTTCCTACTCACACTCACAGAATCAAAAAAGAAAAAGAAATTAAAGATTGCTGAGAAACAGAGAAAAGTGGAATGAAAATGAAATTCCTAATCTTATGTTTTCATATGGCATAGGGTTCAAAATATTACAAAATCAGTTAAATTAAGCCAAATAAATGTGATTTAAATGTAAAGAAAAAAAAAAAAAAAGTTTTCTCCAAACAAAATAAACAAAAAACCAGTGTATATCTAGTTTGGTATCTTCTCTTTCATTTTCTTAGAGACCAAGCAAACAGAACAGAATAGAACAGTAAATATATATCTATTACCACATGAATTTCCAAAAGAAATGCTCTTCTTTCTCTCTAATTTTCAGACCAAAGCGGAAGAAGTAAAAGGGTATTGAAAATCTTTTGTTTGGTTGCTAAGAAAACAGGGAACAGAGAGAGAGAGAGAGAATCAAATAACAAAACTGAAAATCAACGATCGTGCAGTGTGTGTAATAGAGATTTAAGGAACAAAACACACACCTTTGTTTTTTGGTTGAAGTTACGGAACTCCGGCGAATTTCCGGCGTGGCAAACTGATTTAGACAGAGAGACTCAAAAGGTTTTTTCAGGTGGCTTTTACACACTCTGTTCTTTGTCTCTCTTCCTTATAAACCCCCAGCTGAGTACGTACGTATGTGTGTGCGTAACTACGAATATCAAATTGGCTTAATACCCTTAGGCCTTGTTTGTTTGGTTGTCTCTATTGGATATGATTTTGGGGAGGATATGTAATATTAGAGATATAGGATTTCTTTTGTTATGCTTGGTTATGGTCGATTATAGTATGGGACAAGATTAGATTTATTTGCTAAATCTAATTTGGTAAAGAGATAAAAAATATGTTAGTCTCACATCATATGATATTGTGCTGCCTCCCCTCCTCCCTCCCTATATCTCCTAAACAAACATGGCCTCAAGGGATTAGATTCACACTAATCTACTGTGTAGAATGTGTAGTTTGGGTTTGTCAGGGTGTCCTGAGCCTTTTTATAGGGATATTTTATGAGATTATGAATCATTCATCTCGTGGCCTATGAAAGAGATCATTCATAAAAATAAATAAAAATTATATTGATTTGATAATTATAATTACATTAATTCACTTTATTTTGTTTAAGAAAATATATCACTATAATTATTAACTCAATTTAATTTTTTTTCTTAAGAATATTTACATACAAAAATTTATAAGATAAATGATTCAAAACCATAAACAACTCGAAGCCACTAAAATAAGATTTATGATAGACTCCACAAATTCTAACTATAAAGCTCATTTCTTTTGTTTTGGGTTATAGGGGATGAGATTGGATTAAGATAGATGTAGGGTCCACTAATATTGTGTTTGTTTACAAAATGGAGAAGATGATTCACAATACCTTGGGACTATGATAGGCATTCATGGATGGGATTAATAGTCTCCAATGGGAGATGGTATTAGAAAAGAGTGGTGCTATTAGCACCTTATAAATTATTTTGAACCCTCTCTTTCTTTGAACCTGTACTTATAAAGTTTGAAACTCTTAAAATTTATTTTTTCTCCTCAAATAATATCAAAATTATCCTTAAACATTCCACCTATTGAATGCACACCCCCCATACTAAAAAAAAACCTCCATTCCAAAAAACCCTAACAAAATCCACTAAGAAGAAGAAGGCCTCATCCTTTTCAAAATCCACGAACAAGAAGAAAAATACTGTCTCTGCGGATTTAACCAACTTCCCATTTGATATTTTTCATTGTTCTCAAATCCAAGCTCTTAATTTGAGCCACAATAATCTTTCAGGGGATGTTTCAATACAAAACTTGTCTATGGTTGTCACCAACCTTATCATACAATCACTTTTCAGAGATTAAAATCTTCGATTCCCAGTTCTTAAAACGGTTTAGTTCTTCGAGTTTTCTTCATTCTGGACTCATCCCAGATCACAAAAAGTTCAAAATCAATGTTCGATTACCGATTCTCAAACAAATAAACAATGTTTGGGCCTGTGTTCTTGAATTTCGGTCATATGTTCGGAAGTTCAGTCTTGAAAAATAATGAATATATTTTATTATTTTTGCCATTTTATTGAAGAAACTTACCCTTACAAGGCCAATTTTTTTTGAGCTAAGAACAATATCAAAGTTATGAACTTCCTCTAAACTTTTATTGTTGTACTCCTTTTATCTTATGGAGTTGTAGTTACCAGAAAAATTTTAACTTATTGTCATAGCCGGAAAAGTGTAGGTAATCAAATGGTTGCCACTATTATCGCCGGAATATTGCCGCCAAAGGGTTTTTAAAGTTTTGAGGGTTAGGTAATCAAATGGTTGCCACTATTATCGCCGGAATATTGCCGCCAAAGGGTTTTTAAAGTTTTGAGGGTTAGTAGGTTTTGAAGGTGGGATTTGGAAAAGATAGATGAATGGTGATGGAGGTGAGTGCTCTTATAAACCCTAATTCATGATGTAGTGGGTGTGTAGGTTTAATTGTAAGATGGAGTGTCCCAAAATTAATGATGTCCTTTGTAGTAATTTTATTTGAGGTTATTATTGTAATAAAAAAAAAACTAAAAATTGGGGGGTCCAAAATAATTTATGAGGTGCTAATAGTAGCACTCATTAGAAAAACAATCCCTTGGAATTAGAGGGGGATTTACTATTTTGCCCTCTATTGTTCTACTTAATTTATTTACTCTACTTGATTAGTATGGTCTTTTTTCTATCATTTTTTTTTAATTATTCCATCATCTGATAATAGTATTTATACCAAACAAAATTATATTAAAAAAATAAAATAGTACCAAATAATATATATATATATATATATATTTATGAAATATAATTTTTAATATTAATTCTTTTTTTAATATTAAAATATGTAATGCAGTTATTAGTTGGTATAAGCTCAAATTTGATAGTAATGCAACAAGGGTATTTGTAGAATTTTATATGGTTAATCCCACTCTTATCTCTCAAAACAAACATGAACTATTGGTAGTTCACTGATTATCAAATAATTATAATTTTTCTTAGTCTCATCACTAATAGTTCCCTTACTAATAATCTCACCCAACCTAGTTAAGAAAACAAACAGACCTTATAGTTGCCAAACAATAGTGGATGGAGGGGGCAATATGGACAATGAGGGTATGCCCATTAACCACAACAATAACAAAGTACTAATGATTAAGCACTGTTGGAAGTTAATTATGAACTAATGAAAGCTCTAGAATGATATATGGACAAAGTTGGTATGTGGCATATAATAATCTAATCTAGGACATTAGATATTGTAAATTATTTTCGTGGGTGCAAAAGAGCGGCAATAAAATATGGTAATCAAAATAGTCAATTGTAAACATTTATAAAATTGTCCACATAAAATTTCATACAAAAATTTAAATTTTTTAATGTAGGAGAGAACATGAGAAATTCTAAATTCATCAAAATAATTAACTTTGGAAGTGGTGGGTGAAAGGGTTAGGAAGCCACCTGTTCAATGTCTTCACCATTTGGCTAAGTCATCAATAGGGCTATGAAAAAGTAGAATAATAAATTATTTAAATTTAATTTGAAAATTTAATCATTTTATAAATGTGTTTACATTTTAATTTGTTCACCTTTTGAATAAATCTCAAATGAGTTTTAATCGATCTGATCATGAACTGACATATAATTAAGTTGAGCTGAGTTAAGTAATAGATTGTTCAAGTTTGATTAGAAAAATTTACAAATTTTAAAATGTATTTAAATTTGATTTATTTACATAATGAGTTAATCTCAAACCATCTTTTAATGAGTCGAACGCAAGTAATTTGATTTGTTTTACGTTCTAACCACCAACCCACAAAACCTTAGATGATGTAAATGTAGATTTTTTAAAGAACAGTTCTGGGAACTCAAAAATTGAGACCCAAATATCTATTCAAAACTAACGATTAAGGATTCAGATTTGTTTATAGTATGACCTATAATAACAACTTTGAATATAGACCATAGATTTAAACTTTACGAGTCAGTTTCTGATTAAGGCCTTGTTTGTTATAATCTAAAAAAGTTAAAAAGTCACTATCCTATTTAAGTCACATCACCTCTCTATCACATCACTTCAAACTCAATCCATACTTAATTCATATTTCATAAAAAATTAAAAAATATATTTATGCTTAAAATCGAGGATAATAGACTTTTTGTTTTTTAAAACTCTAAGTACTAAGTGATAAGGTTTTTGTTTGATAATGAAATGATTGCGATAAGTTAAATAATTTTTGCATAAAATATGTTTGATAGCACTATGCTTTTTGTAGTGGTTTAAGGATACGTGGCTCACAATGTTACATCAAACATTGTCAATTTATAGTTTTCATAAAAAAATATATATATTTAAAAAAATTGTCAAATTATAATTAGATACAAAAGAGTGGGTACTTTGTTTTTAGTTTATGGCCAATGGGTGTTGCCAAAAGAAGGCAATTGGTTTGCCGGCCTTTGATTAGAATATCTTTGGGATGATAAGTAGTCAAACAAATTAGATAAACATGACACCATTAAGCACTTTATTTTAAGATATAAATTTGAGTGGCTTGTAATAACCACACTACGTCATTAGCATAGCATATTTAATATAGGAAATTATTATTATTTTTTTTTTATAGATAGGTTGGGAAAATATTAACTTAAGACCTTAAATTAAGAAGCATTTAAATTCTAGGTATTCACGCCAGCCCACATTATTCAATGGGTTTTTGTTACTAAAAACTGTTAACAATCACAATATACAATTTACAATTCACTGGTGTTACATGATTGAATTTATGATAAATTAAAAATTAATATGTAACATGATATATTATTATAGGTGAATTAAGAAAGTTTTTTTAAGGGTTACAATCATTTTGTTACTTATGAATATTAATTAATGAATTTAAAATGATTATACATTATTTAATTTGTATTGTTAATCTTTGTCTTTAGGGTATATACACTTTCAACAAAATGTAAAACTTTCTAAAACTTAAATCTCTTGATTTTTCCTGTAACTTTCTTTGCCCAAATCTTTAGACATTTCTTACTTGCATTGCATATGAGCTTCAATTCAACCAAGGCAAATTGTATGCACCAATATAACTCATTGATGAAACCAACCCTCTAAATCCCAAAACAAATGCAAATAGCAAGTATCATAAAGATTATAGTTGTCTGGTGTGTTTTCTGCAAAATGAAAATAGAAAATAGAAAACGAAAACCCTAACAAACAGGCCGAAGCCTCCAACTGAAGCAATCTACTATTGAATTGGGATCATTTCCAGTGACCAAAAACAATCTATTCAATCATAACAGAAACATGTCTGCACCAGCAGCATCTAATTGTCACTGAACATCATTGGAATAATCTCACTACAGACGAGCTTAATCCATTCTGGTAAAATTAAAGCAGGAGACATGAATACAATCGATAGTAAAAAATGATAATAAAATAAAAAGGGAAAAAAAAGGAGGATGGTACCAAATTCTCATTCACAAACAACTTGGTAACTCAATCAACTCTTGCTGAACACCATATTTCCACATCTTGAAGAACCATCATGATTGTAGCAGTAAAATTAGGGTGCCGCGTACTCCAATTTCACAAAAAGGTCAGTTCACCACAATATCACAAATCTTTTGCATAGGAAGTAAAATCTGTTTCTGAATTATCATTTCCGCCTTAACCAAAACATTCACACGCACACAGTTCTATGGTGCATGATTACTCATTTGATCAGATATAAACTCTTTCAAGAGCTTCAGAGACTGGTGATAGAGGTTGAGGTCAATACCATCTACATTCCTAGCCACTCGTGCCTTCAAGATTCCCTGAAACAGCACAGTTAAGAGTAACCATTGATCATCATCAACTATGTTGTGAAACACAAACAGAAGCACACCCTCAAGTCATAATCAAATTTTCAGATCAATAGTGCAGTTGAGGAATGTAAGGGACAAATTGTGCATATTAGCTGCCAAAATTTCCTCTAATGTAGGCTAGCACTCTTGTAGATTGTACTTTGGACATCTCTTACCTCATTATTGGGTTGAATGACGAGTTCTCCGATGAACTGGTAGATAGATCCAACTCGAAGATTGACATTTAAATGCTGGGTGTCAATTTTGAGGGAGGCAGTTTCATCGATGATTACAGCAAGTGCAGTCTCTACAGAATAATCTTGCAGCCTAATGGGAACATAAGATGAGTAAACATTTTCAAATTGCAATAGAATTGAACGATGCAATCTCTATCAACTTAGATATGGAACCCATTCATTGCATTCTACATAGCATTTCAAATGAGGCGTTAGTTTCTTCTACTTTCTTTTTCCTTCTTATAAATAGCATTTAAACAAGCAGATTGAATTTCCTTAATACCAGCTTCTTCTGGTAGTTAGGGTGATGTCAATCTCTGAGTGCAAGTTCTTAGAAAATCATTGTAAACCTATTCAACTTATGTAGTAAATCTAAACAACCCCCAAGTGTTTGATAAATCAACTGAGCAAGGATCCTCTAGAGTAATTTTTCCCTAAAGTTTCCTAGAGTGCTACATTGTGTAGTTGAGATTTACTGGCAAGTCACATCAATTTTTCTGATGTGACTTGCCAGTAAATCTCAACCATACAATGTAACACTCTAGGAAACTTTAGGGAAATTTCACTCTAGAGGATCCTTAGTGAAATCAACTGGCCAGTTTCTAGTAAACTAGTTTATATGCCATCAGATAGCCTTAAACCCATTCTTTTTTCTTTTTTACCTGAAAAAGAAATGAAAAATTTTCCATTCACTAAGATAAATGGAACCTAAGGCAGGAGCTCTGCAGTAAAGATTGGTTATCATATTTTAAATTATTGTTACTAGGGCAGCAAAGGAGCCGAGCTGTCTTGGCTAATTTGTAGTGAGCTGATCTTAAACATTCCAAGGCTCGGCTCAACTTGTTTACAACCCTAATTGTCACTAAAGAATGCCTTGGAAATTTTAAATAAAGAGACAAAGAAACATGCACAAGATGGAACAATGGCTGACATTAAGTGGTGTAGCAATATATTACTCACTTTCCAGTAACACGAAGTGAGGCCCCTTGCTTGAAGTGTGGAGAAGCAGAGTTTAGCTCTTGTAAAGTCACCAGGGCACCGGCATTTATTGCAGATGATGCCATTGAAGCACCAGTGAGTCACAAAGAAGACGAATCCAATAACTCTCCTGCAAATAACGAACCACACAATCAAATGCATCTAAAAAACAATATGAAAGTTTTTGAAAAAGAACCCGCATTCCATCTTATTCAAGAAAATGAACTGGGGGAATATTGCCAAAAAAAAAATCTTCACAGAGAAAATGTAAGACTAACCATAATACCCAAATTCATTTCATGGGCTGAAATGCTACATTGGTACATGGATTTGAAGTTCAAAAAAATTCAGACTTTGCCACACAAGTTGATAATAGACAAAGCAGTTTTGGAAAGGGGTAATTTGGATCAAGAATTGGTCCCAAATGAATTTAAATTCAGTAGGCATAGTATGTTAGAGTTCTCAGATAAGCACACCAACATTCAGAGTAATTAGGGTTTACTTCAAAAACTGAATAATTGAAGAAACTATCCCAATCTAAGCATGTTAAACTACTTATAAATCACATTCAAACACAAATCTTTTCACAAACACACAGAGATTACTACATACATGCTTGGAATTTAGAGCTCACCGATCAGAGAGAGAGAGAGAGAGAGAGCTTACGATGAAGGCTTGTTTCGGCAAGTTCCAGGGAGCCCTTCCCTTTGCTCACTTCCATTTTTCTCTTTCTCACTTCCTGTTCAATTCATAGTTTTTGTTTTGTTTTGTTTTTTTATATATATTTTTTCTTCAAATAATCGTATGAAAAAATTACAAATCATTTGTACTTTCAAAAAATAATTACTAATGCATAGAAAAGTTTTTGGGGTCATTTCCCTAAATAAGTCAAAATAATAAATCAACTCTCAAACTAAACTTAGTTTTGAAAGAATTTTCAAAATAAGCTAACTCGTGGTTCACAATCACGATTTCAACATATATACGCCTGTCCCGTGAAATTGGGGAAGTCTTAAAATCGTGGTTACAAAAAACGCTTTTGATTAAGGAATCGCGGTTACAAAACGCGCTTTTAATTTTTTTTTTCCTTCTAAACTCGCTATTCCAAACCACGATTTTATCCAAAAAAAATTTAGTTCTGAATTCATTGTTATAAACCACGATTTTATCTAAAAAAAAAATTTGTTCTGAACTCGCTGTTTGTAACCACGATTTTATCAAAAAAAAAATTTGTTCTGAAATTGCTTTTCTAAACCACGTTTTTTGGCAAATTTTTTTTTCATTAAGTGAATCGTGGTTCACAACCACGATTTTAAAACTTATATATAATCTCCTAGCCCCGTGTTTTGCATTCACACTTGTTACATTTCCTCTCTCCCTCCCTGCTCTCTTCTTCGCTCCTTGCTGTCTCTCTCTCGTTCTTACTACTCTGTCTCTCACTCGCTCTTACTCCTCTCTCTCTGTCTCTGTGGTCCCTGCTCTCTCTCTCTGTCGAGCTCCCTCTGCTTCAGTACTATCTTTCTATCGTTGGTATGGCTTCTATCATCTACTTTAATGCGAATAAATTAGGGTTAGGGTTTATATTTGTGAATATATTTGTGTTTGTATTTGTGTTTGTGAAAATGTGAATAAATTAGGGTTAGGGTTCATGAATGTGGGGTTAGGGTTAGGGTTTATATTTGTGAATAAAATGTGAATAAATTAGGGTTAGGGTTCATGAATGTGAGGTTAGGGTTAGGGTTTGTATTTGTGAATAAAATGTTGTGAAATCAGAAATAATAAATTAGGGTTAGGGTTTATATTTGTGAAATTTTAATTATAGATAATTTGTTGAATATGAATGTTGAATGTGAATGTTGAATGTGTTGAATTTTAATTATAGATAATTTGTTGAATTTGTTGAATGTGTTTAATTATAGATAATTTGTTGAATTTTAATTATAGATAATATGTTGAATATGAAATCTTATATCTTAAATTAGGGTTAGGGTTAGGGTTTATATTTGTGAAATCTGTTTAGAAATCTGTTGAATGTGAATGTTGAACGGTTTATATTTATCTTAAATCTGTTTAAAATTGTGAAATCTGTTGAATGTGAAATCAGATTTCTATTGAATGTGAAATCAGATTTCTGTTCAATGTGACATCTGTTGAATGTGAAATCTGTTGAATGTTGAATCTGTTTAGAAAAATTTAAATATTATGTTTGAAATGAGAAAATGAGGGTTATGGTTTTCTATTGAATGTGTAATCAGAAATGAGGGTTTTGATTTTTAATTAGGGTTTTGAATTGATGAATGTAAAATTATTTTTCAATTAGGGTTAGGGTTTTAAATTGTGAAATCAGAAATGAGGGTTATGGTTTCAGAAATTAGGGTTTAAGAAATTTATGATAAGTTAAATTTTTTAATAATGTTATATGATTTTTTTAGGAACAAATAATTTTTACATAATCAATAAATAATTATCTATAATAATAATAATTTTCTTGTATATTATTATCGTAACTAATTTTATAATTTATTGGAAAAAAAATGGAAAAACACAAGAAAATCTAATTTTGTCTACATCAAAATTATCTATAATTAAAATTTCAAAATTTTCTATCCCTTTCTTTCAAAATTTCCAATTTTTTTTTTTTCTTTCACTTTCACTTTCTATAAATTTTTCTTTTTAATCAAAACATATTTAAGGAATAATCATGCCGTTCCCTTTTATTTTCATTCCAATAAATTACCTTAGTCCTATGCAGCTGAAGTGTAACTAAATATTTACAATAATTTTAATGCTATTAATTAATTACATAAGAAAGAGAAACGTTAATTTAGCTGTAAAAATTATTATTAATTAGGTGATGTGGAATAGTAATAACTTAAAATAAATAAAGTAACAAAAATATTTTTGTTCTAAATTTCAATTTTTTTAAGTAAGAATAAGAAATTGAAAAGTAAGGAACAAAATTTGTGATAAGAAATTGCTATGGAAGTTTTCTCATAATTTTGGCCAGGAACAAATATATATATATATATGGGAAAATTAGTCTAGGGTCCCTCTCCTACTTTTCGTAATGGAATAGATCCACAAAATTATTTTTTGATGTCTAAGGTCCCTAAACATATATCAGAGAAATTTGACTCTTTGCCCACGATTCCTCTCTCTCTCCTACAGCCAAATGAACAAAAGCTTCAAGATCTTCCCCTACTCCCAAATCCCACCCCTTCGGCAACGTCCTCCTCCCAGTCTCCGTTGATCGAGATTGCTTTCTGTACAAGCAGCGGCAACCTGGATGTTGCTGTGGAATTTATGTAATCTAAGATCCATACTCCAGCGAAATAACTCAAATGCGATGCAGGTAGGACGTGAGCATCGGCTAGTGTACTATACCCGTCGGAAGCGATCAACAACGGCATTGAAGCAGGTGGCTCGTATTTCACCTCCGGCCAAAAATGCCACAACCACCTTAATTTGTTCAGCAAATCCATGCTGAACAAAACTGTAACAAATCCTATTTATTTATTTATTTTCTCATTGGAATTTCCATCTTTTGTTAAATCTGAACTTTTTGACTTATGAAAGCTAATTCTAATATCATTTGAATTTGAAATAATCCGACTAAATCAGAGGTCTAATTGATAAAAATATCTTAAATTGTCAATTATAGTTCAAATTTTGAATATATAAGTTCTGGGATTTTGATGAATATGTTTTTATTTTTAGGTGAAAATTTCACTAATTTCAAATTTTCTGTCTTGTTTGGGTATGTTTTTTTGTCAAATTCTTCAACAAATTTTAAAACCATTTGCAAGAAGGTCAAAAGAGAACACCTTCCCATCTCCCCGGGCATTGTTGTAACGACGGATCTCTCCTTTTGCAGTTACTCTTGCCTTGATTGCCCACCGACCTTGATAAGGATTCAAAGCAGCAATTGGAATTATTCGTGCTGGTGCTTCATTCTTCATAATTGACCCATGGGCTTTGTAATTTGGAGGCAGTTGGTATGGAGGTTGAACAGTTGGGTGAAAACTCTGCATATTGTTTCCAGCATTTTGGGCAACATTGAGGACTAGTTCAATCCAAACAACCCAGAGAAATTTCAGTTCAAATTAGAATTTCTCTGGACCAATCCAGAGAAAATTCAATTTAAACCCGAGAATTTCTCTGGACCAATCTAGAAAAATTTCAATTCAAACAAGAAAATTTCTCTTCACCAATCTAAAGAAATTTAAGTTCAAAGCAAAGAGAGAAGATCATTTCATTGAATGAATAAGCAACAATAGCAACCTATATATATATATATATATATATATTAAACAAATTTCTCTGAGTTTGTTTTTTTGAAATTTCATTGACTTGTGTCAATAAATTTCACTGGGTTTGACTTATGTCAAAGAGGTGGGTTGGTAAAGTCTATTTGATATCAAAGGGTAGCTTGAACCCACACAGAAGAACTTCAACCATCTGAAAAATGAATGGGAGATATATTTGGAGGCAACTTCAACGATCGATCTTTGCCCTGATGAAGATGATTCTATACCACAACAGCAATTCTCCTTCAGACCTATTAGTGAAATTGAGGTTGCTGAAAATAATTCAATTATAAACAGTATTGGTGTTGTAATATCTATGAACCCTTCAATCCCTATCTTGAGGAAGAATGGTATGGAAACTCAGAGAAGAATTGTAGCCTTGGTGTGTTACCAACTTTAGCTTAACAATTACTTGTGGATTTCATGTATGATGTATCTAAAATCACCAGAGAAATACTTTGATTTGCACCATTTGGGAATTGGATGAGACATTTTCAAAACATAAAAAAAAAAAAAAAAAAAAAAATTGAACAAACCAGGGAAATTTCAAATTTCTCTGGTTTGAAATTTCTCTGGATGGAAATTTCTTCGGGTTGAAATTTCTCTGGACAGATTTTCTCTGGAGCAGAATTTCTCTGGATCAAATTGAGGGACCTTAGACATTATGAAAATATTAGATGTCCTTTATACTGTAAAGTCTTAATACCAGGGACCCTAAAAAAAAAACCCCTATATATATATATATTGGAGATAGGGATATGGCAAAATAGAAAAGTCAGATAATTGAATTTTATGTCGGTGTAGGCCTTCTTTCGTTTTCTTATTAAATTTTTTTAAAGAGTGATTGTGATTGTTAATATTTTCTATGGGTGACCCTTTAAGTAGTACACTAAAATTTTATTAACAAATTAAAAATCTAACTACTTAGAATGTTGACCCAAAAAAAATAAATAAAAAAAGAAAAAAAAAAGAAAACTTTAAAATATGCCATTGATGCCACATGCCCCTACGATAAGAAAAATTGGTTTGAGTAAATTTATACACTAAATTCAAATCTAATCGTGGTTAAATATAAAAAGTATAGTTTACTTGAATTTCATGCCCCATTTGGGGTTGAATTTCATTTTCGAGTTTTTCCTCCTTAAATTTCATGACATTCCCTTTTATAAATTTGATATAAATAAATGACTTTTTAGAACTGATCCACAAAAAAATTGATATAAACATTAGAGGTCAAATAATTTGATCCACAAAAAATTAGAAGTAAAAAAATTACTTTTGTTCTTCTTTGCCAAAAGAGGCCTTTCAAGTCGTCATGGAAAATGCTATTATGAAAACATTTGATATAAAAAAAAAATTTGTTTAAGAATTATGTTTGAAAAAATTAAAATATTTGATTTATAAAATGAGTCATTCTCGATAATTTTTACCCACTTGAATTATCCAATTGACTTATTCTCTATGCACCTG